AGAACCACGCCCCCACCCCCCGCCACAACCCCCCCCCCCACATTGTGCTTTTTCTGTTCATTTTGGGGCCCCACCCGGCAGTGCTCAGGGCTTAGCCGTGGCTCTGCACTCAGGGATCACTCACTCCTGGTGGAGCTCAGGGGGTACCTCACAGGGGTGCCGGGGAAGGAAGCAGGCGGTTTCTAGGCCAGCGGCCTCCGACCTGCTGGACTATGGCGCTGAACTCCAAACTCTTCTTTTCAAACTGCTAACGGAGATCCGTGAGGTTGCAAGACAAAGTCTGTGAGTCAGTGAAAACCCGGGGGACAGCAACGTGGCTGAGGAGCGGAGCATGTGCGAAGCCTGTGTGTCCCCTCTGCAGTCCCCCCCGACACAACGGCAGGGAATTCCAACAGCGCCAGTATTTGGAAAGGTCAGTTAGGCATTTGCTGGATTTGAATGCAAAATACATTCCCCCCCTGTTCTTTTTTAATAGGGGTCACACCTAGCACTGTCGGGGGAAGGGTGAGCATTCGATGCCAGGGAGCAGACACAGGAGCACATGCTCCACCACTTGAGTTATCGTCCCATCCCTGCAACATGCATTTCCCATAGAGGATTCGAATTTTTTTAAATCACTGTCATCCCGTTGTTCATCGACTTACTCAAGCGGATGCCAGTAACGTCTCCATTCGTCCCAGCCCTAAGGTTTTAGCAGCCTCTCCTTATTTACCCATTTTCCATAATTACCATGCCATATTTGATGGGGTTCAGACAGTAGGCAATAAATCAGAGAGGGAAATGGAGCGTTAGCACAGTGGTAGGGCGTTTGCCTTACAAGCGGCCAACATGGCCGACCCGAGTTCGATTCCTCCGCCCCTCTTGGAGAGCCCGGCAAGCTACCGAGAGTATCTCGCCCGCACGGCAGAGCCTGGCAAGCTCCCCGTGATGTACTCAATATGCCAAAAATAGTAACAGTTTTTTGTTACTTTTACCGTGGACAATTTATTTTCTATTGCTGATTATGAAAAACATACGATGCCGTGTGGCTGCAGTAGTGGCCGCACGATTTTGGAATTCTGAAATTTTAACAATTAAATCTGGAGGGATTTCTGCCAAAATCTGCTGGGTTCTGAGATTTGTTCCTGAGTCTCTGGGATCATGGCCGTTAAGCAGCTTGATCAGGAGACTGAGAGGCCGTTCATGGGTGGCAAGCTGGGGTCTCGTTGGGGTGGGGAGGAAAGGGCTGGTTCCACCTCCATCCCATGAGGTCCTGCATGTCTCGTCACTGCAGGCCCAAACCTGACTGTCCTATGGCCTCTGGAGGATGGCGGCCACCAAGCCGCTAGGGGAAATAGGCCAAGGCATAAAACCTATTCCCACTGGGGATGGCCCGGTGCCAGTAACCTACTGCGGAGACTGGACACTTTTCTGCCAAAAGCCACTGGGTTCCGAGATTTTTTCCTGAGTCTCTGGGATCGTGGCCATTAAGCAGCTTGATCAGGAGCCAGAGAGGCCATTCATGGGCGGCAACTCAGGGTCTCATTGGGGCGGGGAGGAAAGGGCCGGCTCTGCCCCCATCCCATGAGACCCTGCATGTCTCGTCACTGTGGGCCCAAACCTGACTGTCCAATGGCCTCTGGAGGATGGTGGCCACCAAGCTGCCGAGAGGGTGCAGGGGGAGGAACAGCACCCTTTCCCCCGTGGGGTGGCCCAGCACTGGTAACCTACTGCAGGGACCGGACGCATTTCTGCCAAAAGCCGCTGGGTTTCGAGATTTGTTTCTGAGTCTCTGGGATCATGGCCATTAAGCAGCTCAATCAGGAACCAGAGAGGACATGCCCCCAATTATATAGCTGAGCCGGAGGTGGTTTGTGGGTGTGTGTCCCACATACCTAACTTTTGGCGGTTTACTTTCTTGGTAAACTTTGCCCCAAGTTTTTGGGGTCTGGCCAAAGGCACAGTAGCAATTTTGGGGTATCTGGAAGTCTGAAGGCACCATCAGGCTGCTGATGCACTCACCTCACAGGTACAGATTGACCTGCTGGTGGCCCCATACCCCCAACAACCAACAAAATAAATAAATAAAACCACTTCCAAGGCAGGGGGCGGAGCAACAGTACCACACTGAGGGCAATGGCCTTGCAGACGGCCAACCGAAGTTCGACCCTCGGCATCCCATATGGTCCCCTGAGTCTGCCAGGAGTGATCCCTGAGTTCAGAGCCAGGAAGTAAGCCCTGAGCATCGCCCGAAAGGACTCCAAAACAACAAAAGATAAGCATTTCCAAGGCAAAATCCTGCACAGTCCTCCAGGAGGCCTCAAGCATTCTTGAACCTGGCCTGAGGCGTGAGGCTGGCAGCCTGTGGGACCCAGCACCACCCCACACCACAGCATGTGACTTCCACACGCACAACCTCCTGCCTCTTCCACCAAGTGGGACGTGAACATCACAGCAACCGAGGGAAGCAGAAAACTGAAATGAAAAGGTGTGTGTGTGTGTGTGTGTGTGTGTGTGTGTGTGTGTGTGATGGACACAGTACAGGGGTTAAGGCACTCACCTTGCATGCCACTGACCCTGGTTTGAGTCCCCAGCACCTCATATGTTCCCCAAGCACTGCCAGGGGTAGCCCTGCACACCGCTGGGTACTCCCACCCATGGAAAAAAAAAAGGCATCAGCTGGAGAGATTGTTCAGAAATGGAAGCTCTCAGGCAGAGACCAAGAAACGTCCAGGTTTCTCTGTTCTCACCTTCAGTTTTTAAAAGCCCCCTCCCCCATTTCCAATGTCGAATGCTGACGGGGAAAATCCAGAGCCATCATGGAAGCCTCCCCATCAGATGTAAGATGCTGTGGTGTGGGGCCAGGGAGCTGGCCCAATGGGGGCTCAGTGAGCTGAGGGCACAGAGCCCTCCTCACACAGAGCCAGGCGATCCCAAACACTGCCAGGCGTGGCCCCCAAACCAAACAAAACTGAGTGAGTATGAAAGACAGTAATGCCTTCTAGCCAAGAGAGCTGTGCAGGGCCAGTCAGGCGCAAGTGTGGGGGCTGAGCCGCCCCACCAGCCTGGAGACTCTGCTTCTGACCAGAGAACTGACCCCTGGCCCGGAAATGTCCCGTTCCTGCCCGTGAGAACGAACCCCAGGGACCTTCTCGGGAAGGGAACCCCATGTTCCCTGCGCTGTGCCTGCCTAGATGAAGGTCCAGGAGCTTCGCCACTCTGCTCCCCCTCACTGTGTGGGCTCCGCCCTCTGCTGAAGCTCCCCCACTCCACCTGCAGGGCCCCCCTTACCCCCTCGCCCCTGCTGCTGGAGGGTGCACACACTTGGGGGAGCACTTGGTTTGTGTTAGCGGCGGTGCTCACCAGCCTCCAGGCAAGCAGGAGATCTAGTCTCTTACAGGGTCAGGTGTGCTGGGGCCCTGAGCCCTCTCCTGGTGCCTGGACGTTTCCACCTTGCACTGGCCACTTCGAGTCCAGTCCTGAGCAGTTTTAGGTTCCTGACCTCGCTCCCCTGGGAGGAACTCGCCCTGCGTGGCCTCCCAGCACGTCACTGCACCCCTCACTTGAGCTTCCCAGGAGGAAGAACTAGCCAAAGCCTGGCTGGGGCCTCGGGGCCTTTAGTAAACTAACCCTCAGGGGGGTCAGGCCAGCCAGGAGGACACACAGCCACTTCTCACCCCAAAGGCCGTGACCTGGGCCAGCCCCTGACCACGAGGGACATGGGTCGGAGCAGTTCAGCACCTGCACTGCTTTAGGAGGTGAGAGCTCGGTGGGGAGGAAGGGGGGGACTCATTTCAGAGGGGGACGGCGGAGGCAGGAAAGAAAGGTGTTATTGCGGTGGGGTGGGGTGCCAGTCCGCCTTCCCTTCTGCGCTGTTTCGGGGATGTGGGGGCTGCACCTGGCAGTGCTTGAGGGTTACTCCTGGCTCTGCACTCAGGAATCCCTCCTGGCAGTGCTCACTGGACTACGGGGACGCCGGGGATGGAACCTAGGTTGGCCCCACGCAAGGAAAACGCCCTCCCCGCGGTTAGACTATGGCTCCAGCCCTTAGCAATGAACTTTTTTTTTTTTTCCCTTTTCGGATCACACCCAGCGTTGCACAGGAATTACTCTTGGCGGTACTTGGGGGACCATATGAGATGCTGGGGATCGAACCCGGGTCGGCCTCGTGCAAGGCAGACGACGCCCTCCCTGCTGTGCTCTCGCTCCAGCCCCAGCAATCGATGGACTCTTGAATAGGTGGAAAGCCACACGCAGGGCAGGCTGGAAGAAACCCTTTAAAAGCCAACGGGAACAAAGGAAGTGTACACATATGCTGCCGGAGCCCAGGTGTGGCTGCCTGTGTCGCCAGCATCTCCCCTTGAGACACGCCCTTTTATCCTTTCTTCCTGATGCTGGGCTCCACGCCGGAGAAGAACATGTTCTCTCGAATACACATTCTCAATCTCCCCCTCTCCCTTCTCTCTCTCTCTCTCTCCCTCCAAGCTTGCAAATGAAGAAGCCTGTTTTTCACTTCACTGCTTAGCTTCTTCTGAAAGTCTTTCCCGAGAGAAAGAGGGAAGAACCCGAAAGGCCTGGGTAAGGTGTCAGGCTGAGCTTCCTTTCTCCCGAGGAGGAGCTCAGACGCAGATGAGATCAGCTCAGACCCCCCCAGGCCGTTCCCCGGGAGGCAGAGGTAGGACAAGGAGATTCCCTTTGAGGCGCTGCCTCTCTCCTCCCCACCTCACACAAGTCACCCAGGGGGACCCCGCGGGCATCGCTCCTGCAGATGTGGGGGGTCATGCCCCTGCATGCAGGCAGCACCAGCCCCTACCCCCTTCAGGCAACCCCAGCTGGACTGGCCACTCTGCTGCACTCGGCAGTGCCTTGTCACCTGTAGAATGGGGTGCCCGAGTGCGTTTCAGAATCGCTGTGATCCCAGAGGTAAGAGGAGAGAAGCCGGAAGCTCAAAGCCTGGGTTGGGGGGAGGGGAGGGGGGAGCCTGGCCCTGCAGCCACCTGGGGACCCCTCCCTCCCCTCACCTTCTGCTTGGTGCTCAGCGGCTGGGACTTCAACTTTTCGTCCTTGCTCTTGGAAATCCTCAGGAACTGTTTAAGGTCGCCCTGAAGTGGGGAAAAATAAAAATGTTGGTCAGCTCTGGGCTGCCGCCGGCAGCTGGGGTTTGGGGTGTGGCCCAGCAGGGCCTCGACACCCTGTGGTGCACCCCTGAGCTGCCCTGGTCAGCGGGGGGCACTGTCACGCGTCCCCTTTGAGAGCTCTCAGAGAGGAAAGCCGCGCAGGCCAGCAGGGAGACGGAGGCCCTGCTTTGCACGTGGGGGTGGAGGGGTGTGGGCATGGGCAGGCTCACTAGGTGCTGCCAAGTGGGGCACGAAGGGAGGAAGGGAAAAGGGAAGGAGAGGAGAGGAAGAGCGAGGGGAGTGAAAGAAAATGGGAGAGGAGGGAAGAGGGGAAGAAGGGAGAGGAGAGGAGGGGTGAGGAGGGGCGGGGAAAGGAGAAGAGGGGAGGGGACATGAGAGGAGAGGAGGGGTGAGGAGAGGGGACAGGAGGAGCAGAGGGGGGTCAAAGAGGAGGCGAGGAGGGCTGAGGAGGGGTGAGGAGAGAAGGGGAAAGGAGAGGAGTGAGGAGGGGTGAGGAGGGGAGGGGCAGGAGAAGAGGGGAGGGGGAGGAAGGGAAAGGAGAGGGGAGGAGGGGTGAGAAGGGGCGGGGAAAGGAGAAGAGGGGAGGGGACATTAGAGGAGAGGAGAGGAGGGGTGAGAGGGGAGGGGACAGGAGAGGAAAGGAGGGGTGAGGAGCGGGGACAGGAGGAGCAGAGGGGTGAAAGAGGAGGGGAAAGGAGAAGAGGGGAAGGGACATGAGAGCAGAGGAGAGGAGGGGTGAGAAGGGAGGGGACAGGAGAGGAAAGCAGGGGTGAGGAGCGGGGACAGGAGGAGCAGAGGGGTGAAAGAGGAGGCGAGGAGGGCTGAGGAGGGGTGAGGAGAGAAGGGGAAAGGAGAGGAGGAGTGAGGAGGGGTGAGGAGGGGAGGGGCAGGAGAAGAGGGGAGGGGGAGGAAGGGAAAGGAGAGGAGGGGTGAGAAGGGGCGGGGAAAGGAGAAGAGGGGAGGGGACATGAGAGGAGAGGAGAGGAGGGGTGAGAGGGGAGGGGACAGGAGAGGAAAGCAGGGGTGAGGAGCGGGGACAGGAGGAGCAGAGGGGTGAAAGAGGAGGCGAGGAGGGCTGAGGAGGGGTGAGGAGAGAAGGGGAAAGGAGAGGAGGGGTGAGGAGGGGAGGGGCAGGAGAAGAGGGGAGGGGGAGGAAGGGAGAGGGGAGGAGGGGTGAGGAGGGATGAGGAGGAGAGGTGGAGAAGCAGGGAGAAGAGGAGAGGAGAGGGAGGGGAGGAGAGGGAGGGGGTGCGGCCGAGCAGCAGTGTGATGACAAGGTGAGGGCCAGGTTGGGAGGACGGCGGGGCGTGACGGGGCCAGGGGCGAGGGAGAAGGAGCGTGGGTGCAAGCCAGGGTCCCTGGAGGGGAGTGTGCCCGGGCGGGAGAGGCCCCGCCCGAGGAAATCGGCATCTGAGCCAGCGCCGGGAGCACCGGGGGCTGGAGGGCCACTCGGGCGGGGGCGGCCACGCCGGGGCCCCGCGTACCAGGTCCACGTACTCCAGCACCATGTAGTGCGGCTCGGCCTCGCGGCACAGCGCCAGCAGCCGCGCCACGTTGGCGTGGTTGAGCTTCCCGAACATCTCCAGCTCGCGGCGGAAGTCCAGCTGCTGCTGCTCGTCGCGGCTCTGCAGGCTCTTCACCAGCACCAGCGTCTCGGCCACGCCCTCCTCCAGGCCCTGCGCCTTGGCCAGGAACACCTCCCCGAACTCGCTCTTCCCTGCGGGCCGGTGGGTGGGTGGGCGGGGGTCAGCGGCCCGCGGGCGGGGGGGCTCCCTGGCTCCTGTCTGATCCCGAGACGCAAACGTGGGGTGAGCCGGGGCCTGGCGTGGTGTGTGAGAAACCTGGTTTCACAACTACACGCCTCTGCCTACGCTTGGACAACAGCCGGGGCTGGGGAAACGGGGGTTGGAGGGGCTGGACGCGCCTGTGGGCAACCCGGTTTGAGCCCCCGCACCGTAAGGTCCCCCCAAGTGCTGCCGCGTATAACCCCGGGAGTAGCCCCCACACCAGCACTGCCAGGTATGGCCCCCACACAAACAAGAAGATGCTTTTCTTTCTTTTTTCACTTTTTGGATCACACCCGGAGATGTACAGGAGTTACTCCTGGCTCTGCACTCAGGAGTTACTTCTGGTGGTGCTCAGGGGACCCTATGGGATGCTGGGAATCGAACCCGGGTCGGCTGCGTGCAAGGCAAACGCCCTGCCCACTGTGCTATCACTCCGGCCCCACAAGAAGATGCTTTTAAGGGGCCAGAGCAATAGTACAGCATGTCGGGTGTTTGCCCTGCACACGGCCGACCCAGATTCCATCCCGGGCACCCCATCTGGCCCCCTCGTACACAAGTGACCCTGGCTTGATCCCTGGCACCACACGGGGTCACCCAAACACCATCTGGGGTCAGTGACCCCTGAGCACAGAGACAGGAGTCAGGCCTGTTCTTACTCCTGGGCATAGCCCAAAAGTCAAACAAATTAAAGTTCAAAGTATTTTTAAGAGGGAAGCCAGGTAGGGCTCAAAGAGCAGGAGCACACGCTCTTCGTAAGTGGGGGGTCAGCCCGTGTGCCCCCCTCACCACAGGGAGAGCCCCAGGCAGCGGTGTGGCGTGGCCGGCAGGGCGGGGTGTCAGCGCTCAGCAGCTCAGGTCTGTCAGGGTGGGGTCGTTCCCATACGGCACATAGCACCATGGGGCAACACCCTGGGCCACGCGGCCCCCAGCACCCCCTCGGCCTCGAGCGGTCTCGAGAGGTCTAGAGCCGGCAGCCCTAACTGCCCTCGGCAGAGGCCTGAGGTAGTAGCTGGGCAGTTCGGGCCCGTCACATACCCAGCGTGGTGATGGGCTGCAGGCTGGACCGTGGGAAGTGCAGCTTGTCGCTCGTGCTGTGACGCTTGTTGGTGGCCGCCGAGCTGGAGCCCAGGCTGGTCAGGGCCACTTCCTCTTGGATCTCTGCCGAGGGCTGCCCGTTCTGCAAAGGCCCGCCTGCCAACGGGACACAGGGCTGGGACCTCAGTTCTCTCCCCCACCCTTGACTTCTGACTCTGGGGACCGGAACCCCACGGCAGAGCCCTGGTGGTGGAGAGGGGGGCGGGGAGGCGGAGCCCTAAGGTATAGGGTGACGTATCAATGCAGCCAGCCCCGATCCGATCCGCTAGGAACCAAACAACCATCACCCAACCCACCCCCGTCCGTGCCAGCTGGGGGGGACGACGACGACTCCTCTGCCTTCCCACTCACGCCTCTTGCCAAGTCCAGAGAGGCTTCACGAGCAGACCCTGCCCAACAGCGGGGCAGCAGGAGAGAAGGTCCAGCAGAGCCCCCTGGACCTGTCAGAGGAGGGGACAGGGAAACCCCCCGATGGCCCCTCGGAGGGGCTGGCAGAGGGTCGGTGACTCCCACAGGCTAACAGGCTAACTGGCCACGGTCAGGGGCCGGCGGGGGGTGGGGGGGCGTTCAGGAGGCTCCACGGAGGTCCTGCTGGGCGGGCAGCTGAGACGCCAGCAGCACCCCCCTCCCCCCACGAGGCCAGGCTGGGGGCGCCCGGGGCCCCTCACCGTTGAGGCACTCCATCTCAGGCTCCTCCCCCTCGGGCTGCTTCTGCAGCCGCTTGGCCCTGCAGCGCTTCTTGCAGTAGAACATGAGGCCCAGCACCGCGATGATGTAGGCCACGGCCGCGCCCACCGACAGCCCGATGGTCTGGATCATCTTGTAGGGGGGCGGGCTGCCCGAGCCCTCCGACTCCTCCCGCAGGGGCTTGTCTGCAAGACACACGGGCAGGCGTGAGCGGGGACCGGCCCGGAGAAGCACGGCCGACCCGGCCTCCTCGGGACTGGCCAGAGCCAAGGCCTGGTGTCTTGCGGCACGCGTGGGGCTGGGACCCCGGGCCACCGACGCTGAGCCACGGCCGCAGCACCGCTCATGTGACTAGTCATGTGACCGCAGCCAGCCAGGCCCTGCAGAACAGCGCCTGGGGACCGGGAACCCGAGACAGGGCTGGGAGACCCGCTCGCCCGGACTGCGGCTCACCCAGGCTCCATCACCAGCACCACGATGGTCGCCAGCACCCCATCAGGGGGGATCCTGAGCGCCCAGCCAGGAGTAAGCTCTGAGCATTGCTGGGTGCAGCCCAAAAACAAACCAAAAACAATTTGCTGCTGAACTGGAGACTGAGAATCTCCCATGTGAAGTGCTCGGAGCAGAAGCAGGGGTGGGCATCAGGCAGGGGCTGCATCCAAATGCTACATGCTGGTGGTCTTTTTTTATTTGGTGGGGGGGGGCATATCTGGTGGTGCTCTCAGGGATCATTCCTGGGGATACTCCTTAACTGTGCAGTGCCAGGGATGAAACCAGGGCCGGCCACATGCCACCCTTCCACTGTCTCTCAGGGCCCTGGGGGAGGGGGGGTCTTTGTGTACGAGACCCTCAGGCAGTGCTCACACTGGGAGCCGGGGCCACTTCCAGAGACACCTGATGTGGCTGTGCTGGGCCGAAAGGTCAGTGCTCAGGCTGGTACCAGGTTGCTGCTGGAGCCAGGGGTCACGGGAACACCAGAGCAACAACACCCAGTGCAGGTGCTCAGTACCTTTGAACTCTCACCCGGGCCTACTCCCTGAGGTCTTTTCCCTGACAGTCATTGCCGCTGGGACTCAAGGCAAAGGGTTGTCAGCCCGGGAGCAAATCCCTAACTCCTACCCTGGAAATGATGCCCGGGAGGAAGGACGCAGGGGCGGGGGCGGGGGGAGCAGGGTGGGCACGTGCATACACCCTCCTTGCCAAGAGAGCAGGGAGGAAGCGTGCACCGGGGCACACACCGACCTCGCAGCCAGGGTTGTGTCTGTAGTTGAGGGAGGCCAGCGCTGCAACCCGCCCCCCGTGGCCCAGGGGTCTACGTGCCTTTGGTGCCTAGTGCTGAGTAAGGACCACGCCCCCGCCCCTCCAAGTTCGTACCCACGACGTAGAGGGACGCCTCCGTGTGTTCGATGTTGCAGCTGTTGCCTGCGATGCACGTGTAGGGGCCGGTGTCCTCTGGGGCCACGTCATGGATCACCAGGGAGCCGTTCTGGAAGATGTGCATCCTGCCACGAGAGAGAGCCCCTGAGCTGCCCGACTGTCCATCCGGCCGGCCCCAGGGCAGGGGCGCACGTGGGGAGCCAGCGGCCCTACCTGGGTCCCAGCTTGGTGGGGTCCAGGATGCGGTCCTTGCCCTTCCACTGGATGAGGGGCGTGGGGTCCCCCTGGGCCTCGCAGCGCAGCAGGGCTGTGTGGCCCTGGTACACGGTCGTGCGCTCCGGCTTCACCTTGAAGGTGATGAAGACTGGATGGGAAGAGCGAGAGGGGCGGTGAGCGCCGGGCCGGCGGGTCGGGCTGCCGCCACGGCACCCACCAGCTCCACCCGGGGCCCGGCCATGTGGCACCTGCCACGGTGAGTTGGACGTGGGCGCGGATCTGGCCTTGCAGTCCGTTGGAAGCGATGCAAGTGTAGTTGCCGGCGTCCTCCCGGGTCACCTTGGCGAAGTGCAGGGTCCCGGCGTTGTCTGTCACCCACTCCGGGAGGCTGCTCCCATCTGCAGGGGCCACAGAGGGCGGTCAGGGGCCACGGCCAAGCGGCTGGCAATACACGGACCCAGTCCACACTCCTCAGCCAGGCACAGAAGTCCCCATTAATCAGTTTTCCGTCTCCTCTTTCTAGAACCTTCTAGAATGTTCTATTTCTGCCAAACTGGGGTTCTGACAGTGCCTTGTCTTGGCCTTATGTTAACCCACTGCCCGCTCCTCCTTCCTTCCAGAACCCTGTCCTGGTCTTTGCCCATTCCCCTACCCTCCAAGACCACCCCCACAGAAAGTTCCCCCAGGTAATTCCAGTGGGGAGAACGACTTTCTCTTCAATATGTACCGTCTCTCTCACTGCGTCCACAGAAAATAAAAATTGGTCCAGCTCTTTAAAAAACAAAAAAACAATCTGGCAGTCTTCTTCAGGGGCTGTAAAAATGTGCATGCCCTTTTATACATAATAATTCCATTCTGGGAATCTTTCCCAAAGGAAATAAACCCAAATCCATAAAAAAAAAAAACCTCTGGCTTAAAGATGTTTATGGCAGCAATAAAAAGGGGAAAGAAGGAGAGGAGAAAAGGGGTGAGGCAGGGTGGGAACCAGTTACAGTGCAGAGCAGCAATCGTTAGGGACTATTTCTGTATCTTACAGTACACACAAACATCGAGATACTAGAATTATTTTAACCTATGTCTATGTATGAAATCACTGGGAAATGCGTAAGAATTTTAAAGCTCCTTTTAAGTTAAAAAAGGATTAAAATGAGGGGCTGGAGAGATAGTTCAGTTGGCTGGGGAGTGTTTGCCTTGCATGTGGCCAACCATAGTTTGATTCCCAGCACCACATATGAACCCTTGAGCACTGCCAGGAGCGATCCCTGAGCATTGAGCCAGGAGTAAGCCCTGAGCACCACAGGGTGTGGCCCAAAAAACAGAAAAATAAAATACACTACCTGCTTGTTTTTTTTTGTTTTTGCTTTTTGGGTCACACCCGGCGATGCTCAGGGGTGACTCCTGGCTCTGTACTCAGGAATCACTCCTGGTGGTGCTCAGGGGACCACATGGGAAGCTGGGAATTGAACCTGGGTCGGCTGCGTGCCAAACGCCCTACCCGCTGTGCTATGTCTCCAGCCCCCCCCTTTTTTTTTTAAATGCCACACCTGGTCGTGCTCAGGGGTTACTCCTGGCTCTGCACTCAGGAATCACTCCTGGCGGTGATCGGGGGACCCTATGGGATGCTGGGAATTGAACCTGGGTCAGCCGCGTGCAAGGCAAATTCCCTACCTGCTGTGCTATCACGCCAGCCCCCACCCCTGCTTCCTTTATAGCCCCAATTTTTGAGCTACACGCAGCGATGCTCGAGGTTTTCTCCTGGCTCTGGAGCTCAGAAATTTCTCCTGGTGAGGCCTGGAGGACCATAAGGGATGCTGCGATTTGAACCCAGACTGCTGCCCTCTGTGCTGTACTGCGTCTCCAGCCCCTGCTCCCTTGGTTCTAGTTAAGTATGACTTACTTGTGTGAGAACATACACCATCAAGTCGCCCTAGCAAGGCGAATAGATCCAGGAGGGCAGGGCAGGGGAGGCGTCTGTTTGCCTTGTACCCGGCCAACCTGGGTTTGATCCCGGGCATCCCATATGATCCAAGCACTGCCAGGAGTGACTGCTGAGTGCAGAGCCAAGAGTGACCCCTGCCGGGCGTGATCCAAAAAGCCCCCCCCCCCACACACACACACCCCCACCGGCCACAAATAATAGAAAAAAACCAAACAGACCCAAAAGGTCCAGAGACAGTACAAAACCCTGAGTGTAAGCTTTGCATCCATGAGGCCTGGGTTCTACCCGGTTCTGCCTGGCCCGGGAGCACTGAGCGAGGAGTAGCTCTCGAGCTCCGCCAGCATCTGGGGCCCTCAAATAAATAAAAGATGTGCAGAGAAAGAGGCCAGAGACACAGAGATGCCGGGGCGAAGGCGCTTTCTCCTCCCCTTTTCATCCAGTGCCCAAGCCCAGTTCTGGGCTGGAGGGAGGAGGGCTCCGGGGAGCACGGCATCCCTCCTCCCCAACCCTGGCTGTCCTACCGCTATCAACCACCCTCTGGTGCCTGGGATTCGGCCTCCCACTGGACCACAGGTCAGAGGACATTTTCTCATCGTCCCCAGAGTTCCCTGCAGTCCGGGGCCCATCCTGCCCGCCCCTCAGCCCTGCCCTCGGGGTACCCACCTGCCCGAACCCACTTTATAGTGGGCTTCTCACGGCCGGTGGCAGAGCAGGCCACCGTAGCCTCCTTGTCGAACTCCATGCACTGCTGCGGTCGGGGCGGCGGCGTGAACTTGAGCTTTTCTGTTTCCGCCGGGGAAGAAGGCGGGAGTGGGGGGGACGGACATGGAGTCAGCTGAGAGGGAGGAGGAGCGGGCCCAGGCCCCACCCCCGAGGCTCCCCTTTGCGAACGCTCACCCAGGACTTGCACCCGTGCCTGGGCCTCGATGCTGCCAGCCAGGGTGCTGCTCACACAGCGGTACCAGGTGCCGTCGTAAACCTCCACGCTGTTGATGCGCAACGTGCCGTTCCTGGAGACCTCAAACCGCGAGTCCTGCAGCACGGGAGTGGACCCTGGCTCAGCCTTGGGCCCGCGCCTGAGGGAGGTGGGGGGGGGACCGGGAGGGGTACCCCGTGCGCGTGGACGGCCCTACTCACCTCGGAGATAAGCATCTGGTTGCGGTACCACACGACGGTGGGCTTGGGGGTGGCCTCCGTCAGACAGTGCAGGTACCCCGGCTTGCCCTCCTCCAGCTGGCTGTCCTGAGGCCTCCTCAGCCAAGTGGGCACAGCTAGGAGGGGACAAGGACGGCCGGTCAGCCTGGCAGCCGTGCCAAGGAACCAGCCTCAAGAAGTCTCTGTTGCGAGGCCGGAAGGACAGGGCAGCGGGACGGCGTCTGCCTGGCATGCGGCTGGCCCGGGTTTGAACCCCCGGCATCCCATATGGAACCCTGAGCATGACCCGGGGGTGATCCGGGAGTGCAGAGCCAGGAGCAAGCTCTGAACATCACTGGGGGTGGCCCCAAAACCAAGAAGAAAAAGAAAAGAAAAAGAAAGCAAGACTGTCATTTTTTTCACTTTAGGCAAATAGTTTTTCCGTTTTGGGGCCACGTCGGGGTTGGTGCTCAGGCTGTTCCTGGCTCAGGGCGCCCCCTGGCGGTGCTGGGCTCCTGCAGAGATGCAACACCCCTCTACAACCTCTCGGGCCCTCAAAATAGAATTGGGGTGCGTGGGCAGAGGCTATAGCAGGGGGAGTTTGCTGGGGTTCGAGCCATAAGCCAGGCAAGGGCCTTATGGCCTCTTCCAGTTCTGGGGGCCCCAGATCTAAGATCAAGGAGCTCAAGGAGCACAGCCAGGGCGGCAGGGGGCTGCGTCCTGGGGCTACACCATGCCCCCTACACAGTGGCAGGGCAAAGACACACTCAAGGACCTTTGCACGACTATGCAGGATGCACTGTCCGCTCTAGACTGACAGGAGGGAGGGAGTGCTCCGCTTTCTTTTCTTTTTTTCGTGTGTGTGTGTGTGTGTGTGTGTGTGTGTGTGTGTACGCGCATGTGTTTTCTCCTGCCACTTTCCAGGGATCCCTGCTCCGTTTCTGATGTAAGATTCCGTATCTGGTCCCACTCCTGACCTAAGCACTTCAAATCCGTCCTTCTGGTGATTAGAGAGACATCTGGGTGTGGGATTTGGGAAGCCATGAAATTCAACCTATAAATGTCTATGTCTGTGGCCTCTACATGCAACACCCCCCCCACACACCCACACACCCCCCACAAGCACCCTAAACACACACCACATACCCCCATACCCCACACACTCCAAACCCCACACACACCACACACACACACCATACACCCCATACCTCCCACACACCCACCACACACAGATCACAAACACCCCATACACACACCACACACCCCCATACCCCACACTCTAAACCTCAAACACACCCGACACTCCCCCCACACCACAGGCCCCCCTACACACCCCACACAAACCACACACTTGACACACACACCGCACACACCCACACACATACCCCACAGACCCTCCCCACCCTACACATCACATCCTCCACATCACACCCCCATACACATCACACACCCCTCAGACTCCCCCCACCACAACCCCCCACTCCACACCCCCACCAATACCCCACACCATACACACACACCCTTAAAAGAGAATAAATTATGACAATGTAGTGGTATAAGACATAGTTCTAAATGTTTTTCTTCCTTTTTCCAATTTATGTTCCTGGGCCACACACGGCTGTGCTGAGAGCCTCCTCCTGTTTCTGTGCTCAGGGATCACTGTGGCAGGGCTCCGAGACCATATGCAGTTCCGAGGATGAAACCCAAGACGGCCACATGCAACATAGCCTGCCGTACTCGCTGGCCCCTAAATTGCTTCTTCATGTGTTTTTATTACTGTTTTTGTGCAATGCATGTCTACTTTTTTTATCTAATAATAAAATCCTTAAAATAGACAACTGTTACAGGAAGAGAGCCAAAATGTTTTAAACGTATGAAAAATACATTTTATGAAACTGTATCATCAACCTCAAGAAATTTTGGCCCAAAAGACAGAAGAAGGGTTAAGGTATTTGCCCCCGAGCACTGCCAGGAGAGATTCCCTAGTGCGGAGTCAGGAGGAGCCCCGGAGCACTGCCAGGTGTGCCCCTCACACACCGGGGAAAAACAAAAAGGGAAGAAGAAGAAAAAAGATCAAGCAAACTGATCTCTGCACTGCAGTGAGTCTCCTCTGCATGCCGAGCCGTCTGCTTCCCCGGGCTGGAGCGATAGCACAGTGGTAGGGCGTTTGCCTTGCACACAGCCAACATGGCCGACCCGAGTTCGATTCCTCCGCCCCTCTCGGAGAGCCCGGCAAGCTACCGAGAGTATTCGATATGCCAGACACAGTAACAACAAAGTCTCCAATGGAGACGTTACTGGGCCCGCTCGAGTAGTACATTTACCAAATCAAAATATAGTCAAAGATGGGCTGGAGAGATAGTACAGCAGGTAGGGCGTTTGCCTTGCACGCGGCCGACCCGGGTTTGATTCCCAGCATCCCATATGGTCCCCTGAGCACCGCCAGGAGTAACTCCTGAGTGCAGAGCCAGGAGGAACCCCTGTGCATTGCCAGGTGTGACCCAAAAAGCAAAAAAAAAAAAAAGTCAAAGAATACAGTCCTTGTGTGCGTGTTGTCTGAGTGCGGGATGCTCAGGGACTACACCTGGCTCTGCGCTCAGGAGTGACTCCTGGCAGTGCTATTGGGGCATCTAAGTGCCAGGGATCAAACCTGCCCCAAGAAGGCAAGCACCTAACCCCTCCCTGTGAGGATCGCTCTGGCCCCATAGTGGGAGAAATCTTCCAGGTATTACAAACAAAATCACCGCCTCTAAACTGTCCACCATCACCTTCCCAAAGCAGAGAGACAAACATCTTTTTTTGCCTTGTTTTTGGGTCACACCGGGCGGCGCTCAGGGTTTACTCCTGGCTCTGCATTCATGAGTCACTCCTGGTAGTGCTCAGGGGACCACATGAGATGCGGGGACCGAGCGAGCGCCTTACCTTCCAGACTATCGCTCCAGCCCCAAGAAACATCTTGACTTTACCTCTTTACTAGAAGTAAAGAATAGAATTCCTCTTTCTGACTCCCTAGTGTGGATGAAGGGACTTATTAAGCCATCACTGGACAAAGAGACAGAGCCTTAGCAAGGGGAAGTGGGTTCCCAGGGTGGCCACAGGCCCAGAGCTCGGAGCAGGACCCGTCTCCAGATGCCCATTGGTGCCCACCTCCCTCCAGCACCCCCTGCAGCCCCCCATCCCCCAGCCCGCAGACCTGAGCGGGGGGAGTCTCCGTACCCTCACACCCGGCTCCCAGGACTTCCTGGGGCCACCCCCTTGGGAAACACTCACTGGCCACGGTGACATTCACATCCTGTCGCCGCTGGCCAGCCAGGTTGGCGGCGTGGCAGGTGTAGACCCCGGTGTCGCTCTCGACGGTGCTGGCGAACACCAGCTCGTGGCCCTGCTGGTAGACTCTGCCGTGGGCGGGCAGCCGGGCCCCCGCGTGCTCCCACCACACCTGCGGCTCTGGCAGACCGCGGGGGGGCGAGCAGGCCACACGCTCCTCGATGCCAGCCGTGAAGACCCGAGGCTCGAAGGGGGAAAGGTCGTCGATCTCTGCGGGGGGGCGTGGGCAGAAGGGAAACGGGGCCCCACTCAGCACGTCTCAGGGTGCTCAAGGCTCGCTCAGGGGGAGCCTGTGACCCTTTGTGGCAGCAAGCCCGCCCCCCCCCCCCGCTGGTCCTGTGTCCCCCCCCCACCCGCTTCGTCTTCCCCCGCCAGGCCCAGGACCCACCTGCCAGGTGCAGTGTGGCCTCCAGCACAACGGGCGGGCCCCTCAGCCCCTGGCCCACGCAGCGGTAGACGCCGGCATTGCGCGGTCGGACCTGGGTGAGCAGCAGGGAGCCGTTGGCGAACACGGTGGCTCTGCGCAGGTGCGGGGGGCTGGAGTGTGGAGAGAGCGAGGGGGGTGAGGTCAGCGGGGATGGGTGGCCAGGGGTGTGGGGGAGGTCGCCGTGCTGGTGTGAGACCCAGCGAGGTACCCATAAGAGATGGACCAGTCCCAAGTGCAGGGGAGGACACAGGAGCCCCCCCCTTAGCAGTCAGCAGAGAAACTGGCGAGGTGGTCCTCAGGGCTGCAGTGGGGGGAGGAGGGGAGTCTGATCCCCCCAACCTAGGGCACCCACAAGGATGGGTGGTCTTGTGAGGTCCTTGAAAGAAGGGCTGGCTCCTCCCAGCACCTTCTGGAAGAGAGAGAGAGAGAGAGACAGAGAGAGAGAGAGAAAGAGAAAGAGAGAGAGTGTGTGTGAATCTTGCGACCTGGAGCCTTCCTAAGCAGGTCCCCTGTATCCCTCCATGCCTGGATGCGTTGGGGTGAGCGGAGCCACCACTCACTCACGGTGTGTGGTCCCCTTTGGGATAAGTGGAAAAAAGTCCTTCCTCTGAGGGGGACCCGAAAGGCAAGACATTCTACTGCCACCTACTGGCTGCATGTGGCAGCGCGCATACAGACCCAGGCCTGCAGCCGGCCCTCAGTGCAGGGGGGTCCCAGCTCGCCAGAGCGGCCCCCCTCCGGTCCCCTCAAGCCTTACCGACTGCGGTTCCCGATGGGAGTCTCGTCCTCGAAGACCCACTGCAGGCTGGGGGCGGGCTGGGCGGAGAACTGACAGTGGAACATGGCCTCCTCGTTCCGTGCCACCACCACATCCTGCGGCGCCAGGACCACCCTGGCAAAGCTCTCATCTGCGGGGCGAGCGGCAGGAGGGACACCAGAGCTGCCAGGGGCCACCCGCCCAGCCCCCCCCACAACCGCCTCGCGTCTCCTGCTGCCCGCCCCGGCTCACCTGCCACGGTCAGGGTGAAGTTCTCCGTGCTGCAGGCCTGGCCGAAGGCGTTGTGGGCGCAGCACGCGTAGACGCCGCTGTGCTCGGGCCCGGCCGGCCGCAGGGTCAGGTTCCGCTCCCTGCTGCTGACCGTGTGGTTGCTCTGCCCATCCGAGATGGGCACCCCGTCGCGGAACCACTGGTAGGTGGGCCTGCAGGGTCGCGGGGGGAGGGGGTGGCAGCAGCAAGATGTGGGGAACAATCAGAGGCCAGCAGCAAGATGGGGGGACAGACAGAAGTCAGGGGGAAAGGGGCAGAAGAAGGGGGCGCGCCGGGGCGGCCGGCCGCCTGCGTTTTACACAGCGGTAGTGGAGACCGGGAGGGAGAAGGGCTAGGCACCGTCCGGAGGCGGGCTGGAGCGATAGCACAGAGGGTAGGGCGTTTGCCTTGCAAGCGGCCAACCCGAGTTCGATTCCTCCACCCCTCTCGGAGAGCCTGGAAAGCTACCGAGAGTATCTCGCCCACACGGCAAAGCCTGGCAAGCTCCCCGTGACGTATTCGATATGCCAAACACAGTAACAACAAGTCTCACGATGGAGATGTTACTGGGCCCGCTCGAGCAAAATCGATGAACAACGAGAAGACAGTGACAGTGACCGTCTGGGGGTCAGAACCAAGAAGGTATTCTAGACTTGCTCAGAGGCTATGGCACCCCAACCCAGGACCCCTGGGGCTGGCATGGGGTAGCCTCAGGGGAGGTTGTAGGATGATGTCCCTGGATTGGGACCATCTGGGGTCAGGAGAAACGTCTCAACCTGTGCAGAGCCTGCTCCGGCCCCTGCCCGCCCTGGCCGCTCCTTACCGAGGATGGCCATCCACGTGGCAGCGTAGCATGACCTGCGTCTGGGGCTGGATCTCAGAGACCGAGGCTGGGTGCTTGAGGACCACGGGTCCCGCCTCGATCCCTACAGAGGTGGGGGAGCAGGGCGTGAGGGGTGTGGACAAGGCGAGCTGCCACTCCCCAGCGGCTCAGACGGGGCTCCCAGCACGTGGCCTTCTGCCCCAGGCGTTTCCGAGAGTGTCCGGAAGATACAGAGTCTCAAGAAAATCCAAAGGCAGAGGGTTGGAGCAATAGTACGGCAGGTTCCCGGCATCCCATAGGGTCCCCCAAGCACCAGCACGAGGAACTCCTGAGTGCCCAGCCAGGAACAGTCCCTGAGCTCTGCCAGGTATGATCCAAAATGGAAAGGAAAAAAAAAAAAAAGAGTGATTCCTGAGCAGAGAGCCAGGAACAAGCCCTGAGCACTGCTAGGTGTGCCCATAAATAAAAGGAAAAGAAAAAAAAGATTTGAAGGAAGGAGCCAAGGAGCTGGCGTGTGAGGTCCTGGATTCTATCCCAGGTACGGTGAAAAAAATTTTTTAATTGGACTGGAGCGATAGCACAGTGGGTAGGGCGTTGGCCTTGTACGCGGCCGACCCAGGTTCGATTCCTCCGCCCCTCTCGGAGAGCCCAGCAAGCTACTGAGAGTATCTTGCTCACATGGCAAAGCCTGACAAGCTACCCGTGATGTATTCAATATGCCAAAAACAGTAACAAGAAGTCTCACAATTTGTTGTGAGATGTTACTGGTGCCAGCTCGAGCAAATCAGTGAACAACAGGGAGGACAGTGCTACAGTGCTAATTGAACTGGAGAGACCGCACAGGAGGGAAATGCACTTAACATGTATGCAACAGTGTATCCAAGACCGTGGTTCAAATCCCTGGCACCACATCTGGTCCCAAGTGTTGGAACTGATCCCTGACCAGGAATGGCTCCCCGCTCCGCAAAAAAAAAATTTAAAAAAAATAAATAAAAATAATTAAACAAGTCTGAAGAAAGCAAAGAAACCGTCGGGGGGAAAAAAATAGATCTCTGGAGGCCAGGAGGGAGAGTGCGGCAAGGAAGGCTTGCAGACATTTTTATCTAAGGCACCATTTCTGGTCCCCTGGGCCGGGTAGGAGTGATCCCTGGAGCATGGTCTATTAAACAAAAGAATAATACCGCCCTTACGGGCTGGAGCGATAGTACAGTGGGGTAGGGTGTTTGCCTTGCATGCAGCCAACACGGGTCCAATTCCCAGCATCCCATATGGTCCCCCAGCACTGCCAGAAGTAATTCCTGAGTGCAGAGTCAGGAGTGACCCCTGTGCATCGCTGGGTGTGACCCAAAAGGCAAAAAAAAAAAAGACAAAGTGGGACTGAAGCGATAGCACAACAGGTAGGGGTTTGCCTTGCACGCAGCTGACCGGGGTTCGATTCCCAGCATCCCTTATGGTTCCCTGAGCATCGCCAGGAGTAATTCCTGAGTGCATGAACCAGGAGTAACTCCTGTGCATTGCCGGGTGTGACCCAAAGGAAAAAAAAAAAGGATAAACCCGCGAGGGCCAGGGCTGGAACCCGCAGCGGAGCGCTGGCCAGGCCTGCGTGAGGCGCTGGGGTGGACAGAAGGGTGGCCCGCCCACTTCTGGGGGACTGCACCCGGGACTGGCAGGCAGGGGGTGGGAACGGGGTGGGCCCTCACACTTGATGTTGAAGGTGGCGTTGGCGCTGCGGGCCTCCTCTCCGGTGCTGTTATCCCGAGCCACGCACTGGAAGGTCCCCGAGTCCTGCAGGCGGTCCACGGCGGTGAAGCTCAGGCTGCTGCCCTGCGCGAAGCGGCGCTCCGTGTCGCGCACCGGGGCCCCGTCCAGCAGCCAGGACACGTGCACGGGGCCCGGCGCCTCCACCTCGCAGCGGAGCAGCGCCCGGCGCCCCTGCAGCGCATCCTGGGAGGAAGGCTCCTTGATGAAGATGAGGGAGGCGTGCGCGCCTGCAAGGGGGACACCAACGGGCAGGGTCAGGGAGGGCTGGGCGCCGCGCGCAGGCGGCACCCTGACGCTAGGGGGCGCTGCGGGACAGCAGCCGCTGGACAGACCCAGGACCGCTCACGCCCGGGGATGGACAGACGGATAGGGCATGTGTATGCCTGGCAAGTCCCACCTGACCTAGGCTGAATGAAATCCCGGTCACCGCACAGGGGCCCTCGGACCCCATTCCTAAGCACAGAGCCAGGTCGCCTCTGAGCACCACTGAGGCCTCCCCTCCAGCTGCAAGGCAGGGACAGGCAGCCCTCTGGGGCGGTGGACGCGTGGGCTCTCTAGGGGACGGGGCTTTGCACACCCACGGCAGACCAGGAAAGGTCTGCCTCAGCAGCAGGGCAGAGCCCCGCGCCCCTCACCCCCCACCTCCATGAGTCAGGGCACGGAGCCACGTTTGCAGGTAACTCAGAGCAACTGTGAAATGATCCTGCACTGGTGCTCATGGAGGGGACAGACGTGGCCACAAGTCAAGGAGTGGGGGGAACAGTGCAACTAGTTGTGCAGTGTCTTCAACACGCTGACTCGGGTTCGATCCCTGGTATCAGACCCCTCAGGAGTAATTCCTGAGTGCAGAGCCAGGACTAACCCCAGAGCATCACCGGGTGTGGCACTCCCCCCCTCAAATAAAAAAAGCGAAGGAGGGAGCCTTGAGTCACCAGACCCTACCGCCCCCAGTGTCCAGTGCCCCAGCCCAGGGGCAGCCAGTGTCCTCTAGCACAGGAGTGAAGCTTTCCTTTCTCCTTGACCCTCTTTGATTTGTTGATCACATCGGGCGGTGCTCAGGGCTGACTCCTGGCTCTGCACTCAGGGTTCCCTCCTGGCAGTGCTCAGAGGACCATCCGAGAGGTCAGGGATCGACCCAAGGCCAGTGCCCGCCCGCCAGATGGTCCCACCACAGCTTTCGGAGACATGTCAGGCCGTCCCAGACCCAACTGTCCCTTGGACCCGCGAGGGACTGGGGCGAGCCAAGCTTCCAGGCTGGCACCTGGTTCTGCTCGAGGCCCACACCACTAGGGGTCAGCTCTGGCCAGGCGGGGGGGGGGGGGGCTGCACCCCAAGGGGAGAACAAAGGGTGGAGGAGAGGGCAGGGCGGGGAGAGTGGCATGGTGACCGCCGTGAGCAGGAATGACCCGGCCTCTGTTGTGGCCCACGCAGGTGCCTCCGCCCCGTGCCAGCAGCCCCAGCCGCCCGCCAGGGTAGGTGTTGGCAGGGAAGGGGACGGGCTTCCCCCTCCTGCAAGGAGAAACGGGCCCCCTATGGCATCCACCATAAAGCACAGCAGCCTCTGGCCCACGGGGAGCCCGGCCAGGAGAGGAGGAAGAGGAGGGAGAGGGCCCTGGCCTCCAGCTCTTTCCAAACACCCCATGAAATCCCAGCCCCAAGGGGTGGGCCGTGCGCCCAGGCGTCTGCATGTGGAGCTACTGCCCAAGAACCAGGGTCCCCCCAACAGTGGCAGCAGTAGGGAGCCCCCGGCCTACGATCACATCCCAACGTGGTCAGAGGGCCGAGCAAGAGGTAGAGGGGTGGTCAAGCCCCTCACACCCTCTCAGTGGGGGGGGGGGGTGCGCGGAAGTTCCCAGTGCAGGACTGAGAACCCCCCCCCCGCACCCGACACCCCCACAGCCCAGGGCCCTGCCCATGCGGCAACCCCCCGCCCCACCCCGTCCGGCAACTTCCATCCAACCCCTGAGTACAACAGTTGGGTAAACTGAGGCCCCCAGGCATGGAGGGATTTGTCTGAGATCAAACAAGTCCTCTGCAGCCAAGCCAAGGCGACCAGTTCCGAGCCCAGCCTCTTCCCAGCCCCACTCAGGAGCCCCCAACCCTGTGGCAAAATCCCACCCCCACCCCAAATCCCGCCGGGGGGCGGCTGCACCGGGCAGGACCTCCCAGGAAGCATGGGGCCCAGGGTCTGGCCCACGGAGAGGAGTCTGGCTCTGTTCCAAGCGCTTCTCCAGACAGGGGGCGCAGATGGGGGCTGCTGCCCCCCCGAGACCTTGGGACCCCTGACCCAGAATTCCAGGAAGCACAGACCTAACGGAAGCACCCCCCACCACCGAGCTCGCCTGCGGCGGGACCCCCCACCCCCACAGCCTGGCCAGGTACTCAGGCCCCGCCAAGGCCAACCTGGTGAGTACAGGGCCCAGCTCCGAGCAAACCCTCCACGGCCGGGCGAGCACAGGCTCGGCGTGCTGTTAGATCCGGTCAGATCCCCTGAGAACCATCCAGAGTGACCGACCCCTGATCGCGGAGTCTGGAGCAGTGGCTCCCCCGCCCTCACCCCCACGTGTGCCCTGCAGGAAGGAAAACTAGCAGACAAGAGCGCGTCCCACGGGGGCTGGGGCGTTGGCACAGCGGGGAGGGCACTCAACTTGCAAGAGGCCGACCCGGGTTCGATCCCAGACGCCCCCATATGCGTGTATCCCCTGAGCACCGCCAGGAGTGACCCCTGGGCACAGAGCCAGGAGGAACCCTCTGAGCATTGCCGGGTGTGGCCCTCAACGAAGAATATGTCCCTCAACTCCTGGCCCAGAACATGCATGTGGAGAGAGGCTGGGGACACCCTGCAAAGCTCTGCTGGTGCCCAGCTGTCGTGCAGAGACCGCGGCCATCCGGCTCTGGGCACTCACAGCTCGGGGGGCCTCTCCCGCCAAGAGGGGGACATTGAAGATCAAGGGATGGAGTAAGGCACCAGGGGCAGGGCACCCCAGGTGTGGCACTCATGGCCCTGAGCACCAGACCATCGAGTCTGCATTGCTGGGCTGAGCACAGAGAGGGTGGGGGGTGGGGGGGGACAGCGGGGGGGAGGGGGAGAGACAGAGACAGACAGAGAGAGACGGAGACCGAGACCATGTGTGTCCCTATCAAACAAACAACAGACCCTGAGAGTCCCCTGGCAAGGCACAGGCCCATGCAAACAGCCTGACTGAGGAGACGCCCCCAGAGCAGAGGCCTGGGGAAGGGGGATATGGGGGGGGGGTGAAGGACCACGCACAGCACGGCCCATCCCACCCGCCAGACAGCCTGCTGGGAGCCGGGCTCCGGGGTCCCGCATTCCCAGACCGCCACTCAGCACCCCTGCACCCCCACAGGCCTGGAAAACATCAAAGGCAGCCCCAAGGGCCTCTGTCCTGACGTCAGCCCACAGCAGGTCCTGGTTAGCACTTGGCCCGGGCTGCCTTCGGAGGGGAGGGGGGCAGGGACGGCAGCCAGCAGCCTGCTCCAGGCCCCCCGCCCCCTCCAGCTTCCCCCCAACCGCCCCCCCCCCCCCGCCAGGAGGCCTCTCACCAGAGGCTGCCCGGGAACGTGGCACTATCACACCCGCCCGCGCCCAGAGACCGCCAGAGGGGTGCCCGTCTGGCAGGAGGATGGGAGAGACGGAGACCCAGGCACAGACGCCCCCTCACCCCCCAAGCCGCTGCTGGACCAAACCGGAGAGAGCTGGTGGCTGGGATGGGGTGGGACCTGGCCGAGGTGGCCGGTCACCTCTGTGATGCCTCCGGAGGACCCTCTCTGCCCCTCACAGACCCATCCCAGGGGGCCGAGAGTCCAGAGAGCCCGTGCCCTTCCTCCACCCCTGGGACAGAGCTGGGAGGGGGACCGGGTGGCTCCCACGGCCATGTCCAGGGGGTGTCCATGAGAACCATCTGCCCACGTGGGCACCCAACAAAGCGCATGCCCACTGAGGGCATTTCCCCAGCCGCCCGCCTCCCTGCCCCGACGGCCATCAGCACACACATGGCTGGGCCACTCGCTCCACCGGCGTCCCGGGGAGCTGAGAGGGCTGGCGGCCGTCCAACGCCCACCCCCAACCCCCCCCCCACACACACACCGCCCGCCTTCCCGCGCCTGGGTCGCTGCCCACCCTCCTCGCAGCTCCCCGGGCCCAGCACCCCATGTGTGCATGCGTGTGCACACACATATGTAAACACGGTTTTATGGGGGGCGGGGAGCAGCAGGAAGTCTTCCTGCTCTGAAGTAACTGCAGCTCCTCAAGGAAGGACCCCCCTTTCCCTTCTCCCGGAAGCCGCTTCCCTGCCTGCAAACACGTCCCACCCAAACCTGCAAGCCTCGCCCCTCGGGCTAAGAGGCAGGGGCCGTGCCAGGGCCTGGGGTCCCAGGGATGATGGCCCGACTCCCAGGGGACCGAGGGGGCTCCTTGGGGGGCACCCAGAAACCCCCTCAACTTGCCAACTCCCAGTGCCCTCTCTGGGGGCCAGTCTCAGGACCCGGCCAGGAAGGGCAGCGCAGGACGGAGGTGCCAGGGAGAAACCACCCCTCGATACATCCCGTCTGGGTGCTCTGGGGCAGCATGCAGGAAGACGGGGTGCCGGGACCCCCTGCCACAGATCAGCCCACCCAGGCCTTGCCCCCAGGGACCACGGTCTGCACCAGACCCTAGGCCTTTGGCAGTTCACTGGGCACACGTCCGGCTGGCTGTATGTGAACACCCCAAGCTTGTCTCTGATCTCTGCGTCTGGGGCCGATGCCCCGTGGTGATTAGGGGTTACTCCTGTGGCAGTGCTCAGGGGAACAAAACCAGGGCTTCCTGCAGGCAGAGCAACGTGCTCTGGCCCTTGGGACCCTCACCCAGCGCCTTGTGTCAGTGAGAAGGTGGCAGCCTCCAGGGCCGCAGAAATCAGCTCCCACAACCGACTGGTGTGAGCCGGGCCTTCGGCCCCGAGCTCACCAAGTTAGCAGGGACACGGACAGAGGCAACCAAACAGCAGACAGGGGGCTCTGCACAGGGGCTTCTGCACCTCAGAAGGGGCTGAAGACACAGGACAGGGGTCAAGGCATTTTCGCCTGCATGCGGCCGACTTGGGTTCAATTCTCAGCACCTCCTATGTTTCCCCAGAGCCAAGCCAGGAGTGATCCCTGCATGCAGAGCCAAAAGGAGATCCTGAGAGCCACTGGATCTGGTCCAAAAAAACAAAGCCCAGAACATGGA